CCAGTCTGGGACCTTGGGAGCAGCAGCTTCCATCTGGCTGCTCCTGCATCCTGAAACCTGGGACAGCTCTGGGACAGCAGGGACAGTTCTGGGACAGCAGGGACAGTTCTGTGACAGCCCAGGGACTGCCCTGGAACAGCTCTGGGACAGCTCTGGGACAGCAGGGACAGCTCTGGGACAACAGGGACAGCTCTGGGACAGCAGGGACAGCTCTGGGACAGCAGCAGGGAGTATCCAGGGAGGGATTTGGGAATGGAGCAGGTGACAATGAGGGACCTGTGCAGGTAATTTTGGTCCAGCGGGAGGTGTCCCTGCCCATGGGACAAGGTGAATTTTAGGGCACTTCCAACCCAAACTGACCTGAGATTCCATAATAAGGACAGAGATTTTTTTTCATCCTTCCTCATGTGAGCTAAACTTTACTTCCTCTTCCTCCACCACCCTTTTCTCCCTCCCCTCATGTATTTTCTTTAAATTTTCCCATAGTGATGACAGAAAAACCACATTACTCACCATGGCTTCCTTGAGATCCCTGATCCTGGGATTCTGCTGCGAGCCTGGGCACTCACTCTGCTGCACCTCCTCTAATTTTTCCATTTCATTTGCAATCTGGATTGGAAAAGTGACACAAGGAGGTGATACTAGCTGTAGAAAAGGAGATTTTTCTGCCAAAAACAGTTCTACCCCTGTTACAATTGGAAGTGAAACTGTTCCACTACGCTGCTGAAATTCACCTTTTCCTCAGGAACTCCAGGATGCTGGAATGAGGAGGAGGCAGACATGAAGTACAGATTGGAAAGGAGGGGAAAACCACCGGTGGACAGAACCTTCCACAAGTGCTTTGTCATTTAATTGCTGAGCATCCACCACAAGCAAATTGCCAGAATTTTAAGGGAACTGGAGGAGTTGTCATAAAATAACCCAACAGAACACTGGAATTTAGGGAGAGGATGGAATCAGATTTTACCTGGACCTCAGACCTCCATCTTTCCCCTGGAGCTGGCTGCCCAAATTATTCCACAGTGCTTCAGTGAACGTTCAAAGAGATTTTATACACAGTGATTATGAAAATATATATATATTATTTTTTCTCCACACAACAGAGCTACAATGTGCTGTTCTTTGTGCCAAGCTGATATCACAAATATCACCTCAGCCCTTATTTCCCAAACCCTACTTCAAACAAAGCGTTTATCCCCAGACCTGGGGGACAGACACAGGGACAGGTGTGGAGGGAAGCTTTTGTCGCCTTTTTGGCTGCGTTTTTGCAGGCCAGGGTGGTTTCCCAGCCCAGGACCCACCTCCTGGAATGGTCCCAGCAGGACCTGGGCGCTCCTCTTGCCCCCTGGCTGGAGGCCGTAGGACCAGTGCTGCGCCAGGCACAGCCCCACGGCCAGCACGCACAGCAGGGCGCTGGCCACCATCCTCCTGGCCTTCTCCATCCTGGCAGAGACAAAAAAGCACCTGTCTGCTCACAAAGGCACGGCAGCTCCATTTGGACCTTGGAGAGGGACGGAAATGAGGCATTTTTCGGTCGCAGAATGGTGGAATGTGCTGGAAGGGACTCACAAGAGTTGTGGAATTCCAGCTCCTGGCCCTGCACAGACACCCCAAAAATCCCACCCTGTGCCTGCTCCTGTTCTGATCTGCACCTCCTGGGCAGGAGCCCCATCTGGATTTGCAGCCTCTCCAGAAGTGTGGATTAGCTCACTTGAAAGAGATTGGACATCTGAAAAATTTGGCTGAAGATCTAAATTAGGATTTCTGAGTTCCTGGCATGTGTGGACCTCAAAGGTTGCATTCCCTGGTGGTGTTTGGCAGATGTGTTCAGCTGGTTCCTGCTCTGATGTCCCTGCTCCTTAAAAACTGCCCTTTGCAGTCTCTCCTAATCTAATTTTTTTTCTTTTTAAGAGGAGCATCTGCAAGCACTGGATAAATAAAAAGGGAGTGTGTGATGCTATTCCAGCACATTACCTGCTGCCTGAGAGAGGTTGAGGAGTAAACTCCAGGAGCTCTTCTGCTCTGGAAAATGTCTGTCAATGTGCTCTCACCTCCCTTTTTATATCCAAGCACCCCAGTGCCACCTCTCCCAGCAGATTTTTCCCACTTCTCCCTCCCAGGCTGCAATTTTGGTGTTACAGTGGCTGTCATGCAGCACAAGCAAAGCCCATAATTGGAACACCCCTGTGCAGCAATTAAATTCAGCTCCTTTCTCTAAGAGCCATAAAAGTAACAGCCTTGCTTTTAAGAGGTTATAAATCCCACACTGGGATCCAGCTGGTCCTGCTGGGAATCACAGGAGCTTTTCTGTCACTGACTTCTGCCTCCTTTAGTGAAAGTTCTTGGGTGAGTTTGAATTTGTTGAGGGTGTGAAATGGGTGAGGAATTGAGCTCTTTAAGAATCCTGGAATATTTTGGGTTGGAAAAGACTTTAAATTCATCTATTTCCACACCTGTGATGTGCAGGGACACCTTCCCCTACCCCAGGGTGCTCCAAGCCCCTTCCAACCTGGCCTTGGGCACTTCCAAGGATGGAGACTCCACGATCCAGGCAACCCCTCATGCCCATCTTCATTTATGAAGGAAACAAATCCTTGGTGCTCAAACGGAGCCTGTGGTTGCTCAAGTGCCCAGAGCAGTTTGAAATCCTCCTCCTTAATATTTAAATTCAGGTGCCTTGGTGTTCTTTGCTCTGTGAAATGCCAGGTGGGATTAAACTGGATGGGTCTGTGACTGTAAATGAACTTTGTTGGCATGATGGAGTCTTTGGTGTGAATAGGATCCCAAAATCCTTTTTAGAAGGGTCTGGAGTGACAGGGACAAGGGGGAATGGGTTTAAATTGACAAGAAAGGAGGTTTAGGTTAGGAAGAAATATATAATTTGGGTTTTATTAGGACAAATTCCTTCACTGGGAGGGGCTAGGATGGAATTCCCAGAGGAGCTGTGGCTGCCTCTGGATCTGGGGAAGTGCCCAAGGCCAGGCTGGAGCAGCCCAGGACAGTGGTAAGGGTCCCTGGGGGTGGAACTGAGGGAAATGATCCTTAAGGCCTCTTCCAACCCAAACCATTCCATGATTCCCCGTTTTTCAGTCTCGAGACTGAATACTGAACACTGCAGGTTTATAAAGATTTATTTGCATGCAGGAGTTCAGTTCAGTAATTTTGA